TGCAGCTCAGTTGAGTCTCATAGACCTTTATCGTGATTGTCGTCACAGTACCACGTGACCCAGATCTGTTGCTTCATTTTTGCATATTGAGGTGAGGTTTACTAAAACGCTTTTTTTTCTACTAATAGATTGTTTTTATAATTTTTAAATGGCGGGGATCGATTAAAACATACCTCTAGTGTATAGATTGAGTGCTGTATCTTCAAAATTCGAGAAATTGATTTTTACATGAACATTGTCCTTTAATGCCGTTGTAGCTGAATGACGTACTTATGACGTCATGTGTCCGCTGAGCTGTGGCGGTTTAAACTTTGGCGAACAGTTGGGGCATCGATTTCACCTCACCTTGATATTGCCATTGACATTGTTGCACGCTGCAGCTGACCTGTTTATTATAAGTGATCAACATCACAAAATCAATCACTTTAGAAATATTTTTGTCAATCAGATTGTGTCTAACTAGCGTCGTGTCAAAAACATGCAAGTAACTATTTGTGATCAATATTTGATAATGCTTATTAATTGAAAATGGATATAATTAGGTCAACTTTTCAAGAGCGCGGTTCATGTACTCCTTTCTTTAGATTCCTAGGCCAATAAATCCATATCAAATATGAAAAATTGAAAGAAAGAAAAATGAAGCATATAAACGTAAGTTTGCCAATGACAACTTTATATTCAATTGCACCGGAAATTATATGTTACAATTACACCCAACATTTTCAAAACATAGTTAAAATGTTTTAATCAAAGTGATTTGGCTTAACTTTCTCAAAATTGCTGGGAAGACCAAAGCGTACCAAAACGTTTCATAAAGATACTCGATGAGATTATACTTAACGTGGTTTTTATTAATCGAAAGCCAATAACAGTTTTCTATAAAAATGGATTCTGATACGGTTTGAATTACGCCTTGGTTATCAGTAAATTTAAAGTTTGCGCTCAGGTTGGTAAAGTAAAGACAGCCTGTCTCCCGAAGTGAGTCAAAAATCAATTTTTGTTTTTTTCCTTACTTTTTTTTACCAGTCTAGGTGGATATTACGCGCCCTCTAATGGGAACAGAAATATTGTTTCATTAGATATTCTTCTGGCTATTCACTAGCTGATCTTATGCCCGATGAGGATATTTGTACATCTACGTGCTCACTCAACAGGCCGCTGGTAAATGGTTGATATTTTTATGGGCAATATATGAACGACGAATAGCAATAAACAACTAAACAGAAGTCCTAAAATATGCTGCTACAGTGTATGACCTTTCAATTATACCTATTGATCAAAAACTGGTATGTTATGTTTTTTTACCTAAACTTCACCTTGACATTTTTCAGTTTACAGTCGATATTTTTTATCACTTTTAATCAATATAAAATCAATCACCTTAAAAGGGATTGCCTTTATAATAAAAAGTGTTTTTTTGTGTGTTGTGCCCAGCCCATTTATTTTAGATTGCTTGAGATCAATGTTTGATAGTGGCCATTTAGTTAAAAATGTTAAACATGACCGGGTGCAGTGCTCAAGAGCACATGTGCTTCCTTTTTTTCCTGCGATCTCAACTCCTAGTGGAATTAAAAGATTTTTAATGCTTTTGTTTTTGAACGACTGTGTGGAGTTTAGGGTTTACGTTTCGCACAGTAAAAAGTGTCTCAGAAACCAATACAGTTAGAATTCAATACAGGTAAAGTGACGCTTTAATGTGTTTTCAAACGTACAGTGTGTCAGAAAATTTGAAAATTAGCGTATTAGCGTCACATAATAATAATAATAATTATTATTATTGACAGTATCAACTTGAAACAATGTCTTTTGTCTGTCTATTTAGAAAGCAAGCAGCCGACTGTCAAAATTGTTCTCAAGAACGCGAAACCATTTTTTTTTATTTTAAAGTCCAGCTAGCGAAACTTTAATCATTTATTGGGTGAAAACATTTGAAACACGCAAGCAAATTGGCTTTAATTTTACAAGTTCCTGTCCACATGTAACATCCTAAAACCTTTATTTCTGAGGTTGTTTAAGGAAAGATTAACAGTGTGCAGCGGGTAGTCAAATGCTGATTTCAGTGGATATTTCTCTGCATTGTATAGATACGGTATTGATGGCGAATAAGGATTGTGTGGAGGTCCTGAAATATATCTTGTGAAAAAAAAAACGTTTATCAACACTCCATGAAATATATTGAGTTAAGAACGGAGCGTCTTTGTAAGGTAGTAGACTTGCATTAACTAAAAATTGATCTCGAAAGCGGGAAACCATGCTTAGTCTTCAAAGGGCAGGAAAGGCGCCATCCTTCTGTGCCTTGGGCCAAAACATTTGAGACACGCAGGTAAGTTGCCTGAAACTGAACAGTTTCCTGTCCAAAACCCGATAAATTTATTTTCGAGTATAATCATACTCTAATGCGCAATCCACGGGGACTCTCGCTGAATGCAGATTAACAGACTTACACGCCTTCTCCTGGCCTTGAGTAGAATATAAGAAATCATTTTACGAGTAAGTTGGAAACAAGAAGAGGTGTGATGACAAATTTATTATAAAAAAACTAAATGCACTAACTTCCCAATATCTACTTTTAAAACTTGAATGAAATGTTGTCAAATTGAAACTAACAGTTGGGAGAGAAAAACATCATTACACTCCTCCCCATCCTAAAAGGTATATCCACTACCACTCACTGTACCTTCAGAATGATTATTTGAGCAGCAAGAAGCGGTAGACAAGCACGTTGACAGCACAGAAATGATTGGCAGTCATAAATCGATGCCCGTGAAAACGTGCCTACACACACGCTGTCCTCACGCTAACCGATACACCGGTGTATTCAATAAAACAGTTGTGTTATTTCAAATCGCACGGTGGATTAATCTGTGAGCAGCGCAGATTGATCAGTCTGAGTTGTTGCTATTCCGTCATTTTCAATTCACCAGCTTGTGCAAAAGTCAGGGCAGGACAAGCTCGACGATTACAGGTTAGTTGTTTTTTAATTTAGACATTTATTCGAATATTAGTTTAACTGCTATTTCTACCGCTCATCTCTCGATGCTGTCGGGAGCAAGTGAAAATTCATTACCGTATAACACTCTTGCATACAACAAGCTTATAACTAATTAAGCATCGTTTTTTATCTTTTTCTTGAGTGAAACATTAAAGCAATGTCCAACTCAAAGATGTGCTTAATTTTCCAAAGCTGCAATTTTTCTAATTTTGACCACAACTTTTTGATGAGATATTTTATAATTTTAGCGAATAGAAAACATTTTAAAATGTAAAAAGACCAAGGCACATTTGCGCTTTAGATAACATACATTTAAAGATAAAATCATTTTATCTGTGAAAAATATAATGCTATATTGGCCTCTCTAGATTGTAATCCAGTTGAAAAAATAGTGAAATGAGACTTTGCACGGAAGTCACTAAAACCCCCTTTACACTGGACGGCGTCCTTTCTGCGTTCTTTGTGCGACCATGAAACTGGCATCGCTGTGGTCTTAGAAAGGAGACACAAACATCTCTTTGGTTGCAGAAAGAATGCTCAATGGTCGGCCGGTTGTCGGCAAGTGAAGTATTATTTTTTTTTTACTCCCAAACGGGGCTGTACTACGGGACGCAGAAAGGACGCCGTCCGGTGTAAAGGGGGCTTAAGCTCCTTATCAGACGTGTGACATTTAGTAAACTAAGGGAAATTTTCGTAAGCTGGTTATATATATATATATATAAACACTTGTAAACAGATTTCCGTGCAAACCTGCCTTTAAACAGGACAAAGCATTTCATTCCCTTATATTTAATACATAAGTTATCTGTACTCATGGAAATATATACTTCCCAGGGCATAAAAAGCGCGTGGCGTAGAATGATATACATGTATCAGCATTATCAAATCTCATGCTTCATAATTCATGGGAATATGTGAACCTGTTTTACATAACTGTTTTGCATCCATTGTCATGGCTAAAGCAACGGTCGTCGACACGGTGTTAGGGTGTGCAGTAAGATCGATTTTTTTTCAGATTTCTTTGGAAACAGGCCTGAAATTCATACCCAGATTCGTCTGTGAAAAAGAGTTGACACATGTGCGTGGGGGAAATACTGGGCCAATAACTTCACTAAAGGTTGCCTGACCTTCGTGCTAGTTCTTCGATAAGTCAATTGGGGACAATGCTCCAGTAGTTTGAATACGTCAAAGTCCTTAATGAAAAATGTCGATATACCTATAACAATGTCGTCTGCAATAAATATAATTGATCATGGCTTCTTCTGGATATAATAATGCAAAAAACATCTTGCAAAGGAGAGCCGGTCAGGATTGATGTCTTAGACTGCATTCCCATAGATTTAGATCGATCCATCTAGATCGACCTAACTCCCTGGGGGTTCACGCTAAATTGCTGTTAGCCGAGCGCGCACGGTAGTTAATTACCCCCTTAAGGGGCCCGCACACGGTGAGCAATTAGCGCGCGCCACTTGCGCTGCGCTAGATGCTCGGGCTCCTCAGCTCCCCGCAAACGATGCGCTCTTTGCTCAGCAGAGATGCCTCCCGGCCCTCCCCTATCGGACGCACCGCGAACTGTGGGATCATGTGATTAAGGAAACATTACATATTTATTTTCTGAAAGTAATGGCAAATGGTGACCACGTTAATCAATCAGACTAACTATGTACTACTAACTAACTGTGTACATTTTTGTTTACTTCGCTGGGGCTGCCATTTTTCTTTGTTTCCGGCTACCGGCACATGCGCATTGTTGGCATGGCGTGAGCATTCGGCGCTTGCACCCCGCACACGCTAAGACATTTGCCTCAAGAGACCAAAAAAATCAAACGTGTGAGAAATTTTGCTCAGCCGCGCGAGAGGCAAAAATCTCACCAAAATACCCCCGCACACGATGAGAAAACGGCGCAGCGCAAGTGGCGCGCGCCAAATGCTCACCGTGTGCGGGCCCCTTTACAGCTTTTAGTAGGCGGGACAGACATTTAAGCCGGCTAAGCTGACAGTGATCTAGTGAGACTCCCCACAGGGATAGATCGATCTAAAATCTGTGGGAATGGGGTCTTAGTAGATTCCCTGCCTTTTTAGTTCAGCAGTTAATGCCAATATGGTCGATTAATTGTCCCCTGTAGATCTGTCACTCTGTTTGCAGACCCAGAAGCATGCATCAGAGACGTAAAAAGTGGTTATGCCAGAATATAGCTGGTGTTGTGGTTGAGGGGGGGGGGGGAGGCAAAATAAAAAAAAAAACATTCTTCTCGTCGATTTTTCTGGATATTTTTTCACTACATATAAAATGCAAATGTACAAGAATATGTATTGATTGGGCTTGAATGTAAAAACTCCTTGGTTTTGACTCGTAAGCTTTTTTCTTTCTTTTTTTTTTTTGGGAGGGGGGAGGCAGGTCACCCTTGCAACTGTTATATAATAAATCTATTTTTTCTCTTCTTCACTACAGCTGTCTTATAGCTTGGAGGATGCTAAAACACGTCTAAAATGAAGGTCTCAAGCTACCGATGTCACCTGTGTGTGCTGTTTCTGGTGATTGTGACGTCAGCACAAGACAGTAAGTATACTCCTTTGAAATGTGTATACCTTTTTCATTCTTTCACTTTTTCCACAAGTAGATGTTGACCCCAATGCTTTTTTAATATGTAAGTTTTTAAAGAATTAATTTTAATAATGAAAAAGTGAATAGACGCGTGATTAGGTTAGTGCAAAAGAATAGAGCAAATATGGTCGAGTTTATCACCGGTTTCACTAAAACCGCTTTCAGGCTAACTGTTGGCTTAAAACACTTGATCTCACCTAACCCGTTTTGTCATCTTTGAGAACAGCACGAGTAGGTGTGAGGTTTTATTACCGGTGTACACTTCAAGATCCCAGAAGGACGTTTTATCTCCAGGTTTTGTATTTTGCTTAGGTAAAAGCGCGCTGAACACTCTGTGTGCGTGCATACATGAGCGTGTGTACATGTACGTGCATGACTCTCTCTCTCTCTGTGCGTGTGTGTGTGTGTGTGTGTGTGTGTGTGTGGTTGTGTCAGAGAGAGAGAGAGAGAGAGAGAGAGAGAGAGAGAGAGAGGAGATTAAGAGGGAGGGAAGGCATTGAGATGAGAGAAGACTGACCTATTCCCTTTCATTTAACGTAAATTTTGTTATATTCCAGCTGTAGATCAGTGTCTCAGTAACCCATGCCTTAACCTGGGAACCTGCACGGATGGGGACAACCAGTTCTCGTGTTCATGCGTCGCAGGATTCGCCGGGATAAGATGTGAAATAAGTAGGTTAAAGTCAGTTTTAAAGGACAACAATGTGCGTTAGACGTTAATAGCAAATTAATCAATTTACCTTCTCATCACCAAGGCATGCCCTCTTCAAAACGATTTGGAAAAGTATTATGTACACACCTATTTTTGAGTTTTATTTCCACGTGTGTGATATATTATACATGTATGTATGTCCATTAAGAGAATAAATAAAAAATCAGAAACTTAGAACTAAAAAACGGTTGCATGGAGCGTAATTCTGTTAAAGGTTGTCTCTATGATATATGTTGGTGATTAAAATAAAAGGTTTGAATCTTTCAGAATAATTAAAGTCTCGCTATTTAAAGGCACAATTCCATTGTGTTTTTTAAAGTAGATATAATAATATAATGCCAGTATTAGGGCTGCAGTCTAGCTACACGAAGTTACTGCTACACGTACATTAACGTGTTCAGAATGTTTTGTACAACAGAATCAGTTTTTATTACAAACAAATACGCCAGAATAAAGATACATATACATGTATATTGTATGAAAATCCGCAAAAAATTCAGCCAAGCCTAGGCTTAACTAAAGGTTTGTATTTGAATTTCCGACTGTATCGACTGTAATGTAAAAAGAGTTTGCCTGCAATTCAATTTATGTGAAGGGGGTGGATAATGCTTTCATTTGCTTTTTCTCTTGGCAGAAATCTGATGATTTTTATGATATCAAAACAGCAGTGATTTTAGAAGATTATTTGATACAACAGAGCCTACAAACGATATATTTGTACACGTAAAATGTACCACTCAGAGAAATGTCAAACATGTATCAGAACCCAAGTCCTTTTTTATAAATGTAACTCGTAGTACAAGACAAATATTTGTGTATACACTTAATGTGTAATTAAACACAACATTGCGCACCTGAAAGACAATGCTTTCCAAAACTCAAAGCTGTATCGTCGAAAAAAATTAATAGACAAACCCAAACGTAAATGGGCAAAGAGAATGAAAACAATTAGAGTCGTGTAAATGCAAATATAGTGCACCCATCTGTCCACGGATATCGAGTTCTGGGCCATGCTTCTATTTCAACAAACGCATTATGTGTGATTGGCACTGTCTTACATGTATATTTTAAGGTACAAACATCCTCTTCCAGAACTGATTTTGAATTGCCTACAATCAACATCGTGAAGGTGAGGCCAATTGCGCTCTCGAAGCCGTCGCGAACACTCGATGTATAACGGGTGTTTAATAATCAGGCTCGGCCGATAACAGTTCCTGTATGCCACCCGATATAAACTGCTCTTCCACTAAATTAAAAAATAAAACTGCCTTTCAATTATCGTGTTTACAATGAAAGTGCACGGCGCCGACGGCGACGGCGACGACGGCGACGACAGACGCAGGTGACAGCAATATGTACAGACACATCTGTGTCTGTACATAAAAACGCAAAAACTATCTGCAACCTCAGAAATCAACCTGTGAGTGAGTTAAGTGTCATTTAGGTTGTATGTTAAGCTTGTACTAGGAGTATGGGCTATTGCTCATTGAAATACGTTTCTCAATAGAAATATATGTAGGTATTAAAGTTGAAACGTAAAGCTAACACACTTGTTTATAGAAGTGAGTAGAAATACGTCACCGTAAATGAGTTCTTTCTTTTTCCACAACTGCATGCTAATTGGGCTATGAACAATTTCAAAAACTGTAATCAATCTCCGATCAATGTACTTGTGAGATGATAGAGAAAAACAGTACACAGAAATTGATTTTTATTTTGCCCGAAAACCAGGCAAGACAATGCATTTTGTCCATTTGTGTTCTTGTTTATTAAATCGGAAGGTCATATTAAGATACCTAGTTTCTTACAATAACCCGTTTATATAAGATCAGTCCTATACGCGTGAATAGGACAAAACTCCTACTGTAGGTTAATTTCTAGTAAATACATGTCCATGTACACGTAGATATTCAGTATGAGCAGACTGAATTCAATAGCAATGCAGAACAATACATCAGTGTCCCATTCGTGATTACTTTGAGCCACTAAGGGTTCGTACTATAAATCAATATTGCCAAAAATTAGTTGGAATATTTCTGAAAGACATTTCTATCAAGAGTCTATTTGTTTTCAAATATGTTAAAACCGAGCTGCATTAAACCTTTCTAATACAAAATAAACATGTACTTCATTTAGTAACTGGTGTTATAATTTTTTATATTTTGGTATCTCTGTTGTTTTAATATTTTTTTTATTGATCTTTTTATCTATGTATCATTATTAGATATCAACGAGTGTAGTTCATACCCATGTCAAAATGGCGGCACGTGTGTCGACTTGGTCAACAGCTACAGTTGCGCATGCCCAGTGCCATATGCAGGGACACGTTGTGAAACAGGTGAGACCCGAAATGCACTTGTCAGTCTAGGCGTGAAGAATTAAAGGTAATCTGTACGGGATTTAGTCTCCAAAACAAATTTTCCTCGTATAAAAAGGCAATTTTCTGTTCTGTTCTCACGAATCATTGCCCGATCTGTCTCTGTACTTGGATTCGATGTTTTATTCTACGTTTACTTTAATGATTTATTTCTTAGACTGGCCAGTCATTTACATTGCCATGCCCTCCTATACATTTCAGAAGGATAGTTTTTAAGATATTTGCAGGAAACATAGTCAAAAAACAAACAAACAAACAAACTTATTATCAAAAATGCGTACAGAATACCTATAGTATTGACCATCTTCCAGACTCGTTGATGTCTGATGACGTTTTTCGGTATTTTAAGTCACCCTGCCTCAGCGCAAATACTAGTGCATGTTAATGGGCGTGATTGAATGACGTTACATGAGGGTGGTGGCCAACATTAAGGTCACTGAATAACCAATTTCCGAGTATGGACATATTTGTTCACCAAAAGCAAGGTTGTTCAAAGTCTTGCGTCGATACATGTACTGGGTAGTTGTTTTGTCAACCACATGACGAATCATGTTCACTGTCTTTCAGCGCCGTCCTATCGCCTTGTTCCCGGTCCCCATTATGGCCGCGTGGAAACCCTATACCAGGGCTCCTGGGGTACGGCCTCTGTGGACGGCTTCGGCAAGGAGGAGGCGGACGTGCTTTGTCGCTCTCTTGGCTACACCGGCGGTATAGGCAGCTTCCACAGCGCAGACATGTACGGCGTTGGCTCTGGGGAAATCTGGCTCTCGGGGTTGTCCTGCACAGGAAATGAGAACTCTCTGGAAGAATGTCCGCCTAAAATATGGGGCGGTCACACCAGCGCTACGCACGCCAGTGATGCGGCGGTGTTTTGCTATGGATCGACATCCAGTAAGTGTGTTCTTATTTATTTATTTGTTTGTTTATTTAAGTTTTTCATTAACGTCTAAGTAAGTTTGAATGTATTCTAAGTGAACTTGTTTTTGTAATATACATGTAGCTTTGTAATTGAAATTGTCAATTACTTTGCCAAACTTTTTTCTACAAGAAAAAGTACAATCAAAAATTATGTAATGATACTGATAAAATGACAAATATCACATAGAAACTTGGCCTTTCATTTAACTCAAACACTATGTGTATACTTTTAGGTTTACTGTCCCACGGTTGGTACGGCCGCGTCATGCAGTACGTCGGCACCACTCTCAACAGCATCTGTGACACCGGCTTTGACGATAACGAGGCCAACGTAATCTGCAAGGAAAGAGGCTATGACGGCGGGAAGGCTTTCTGCTGTAAAACCTTCCACGGCTATACGTCATTCACGTACGGTGATTTGGCGTGTACGGGCAGTGAAAGCTCCCTGGGGGCGTGTTCTCATTCAACAACATGCAGCGGAGGGATTGACAGGGCGGCGTCAGTTGTTTGCTACAAAAATAGCATAACTTACAGTAAGCTTCCATTTTTTTTAAATTTCGGTTTTGCATTGTGACATTATCATCTATCATCACTTATTAAACTTTTTTATTTAACGATTATTGTCAGTCCATTTATGTATAGAATGAGCAGTAGTGCACTCTTAAACAGAATCAACTCGATATAACAACTTTAGTATTGTGGCTTATATACACCTTACATCCGAATTAAATAAAATATTTTGGTATGCATAAGAAGTACAAAAAGTAACTTAATAAGTTATGCAAATAGAAGAATCACCATATAAAACTTAATAAATAAAAAAAAACATAGCATAAGAACTTGTAAAAGACACACGTTTCTTTATATTGAACCATTTCAGCGAGCACGGTGAGCCTGCAATCCAGCAACAACTACGGAACAGTCTTAATTACCTACTACAACGTCCCCGGCACCATCTGCGACGACAACTGGACAGTGGAAGACGCCACGGTGGCTTGCAAAATGGCCGGCTACCAACATGGTTACCCAGTGTTCACTGGTCAGATCTCCAACAGTTTGGACACTCCAATATGGCTGAAGGATGTCCAGTGTGGAGGGACAGAGGGGTCACTCACTGCCTGCTCTGTTGGTGCGTGGGGTGGACACGGGGTGACGTGTGACCACAAACAAGACGCTGGGGTGATATGCTATGACACGGATGACAGTAAGTCATGGCCCGATCAATGATCTTAAATTTTGGCTTCCCTAATCTGTAATGTTTGTTCGTATGCGAGTCTGTGTCTTTAGTGTGTGTGTGTGTGTGTATGTAAGTGTGAGTGTATGCGCGTGTGCGTGCGTGTGGATGCATTCTAAGTTTAGAGATGTTAATGTTTGTGTAAGTGTATGAAGATACCTTTATTCATGTTGATGTACATATGTGGGTTTGTGTGTGTTAACCCATTGATGAGATTGTGTAAAGAGGAATAAAGTGTTAACGACGGAAATCTTACCATCCACGTTTTAAACTTAAAGNAAGCGCAAATACTAGTGCATGTTAATGGGCGTGATTGAATGACGTTACATGAGGGTGGTGGCCAACATTAAGGTCACTGAATAACCAATTTCCGAGTATGGACATATTTGTTCACCAAAAGCAAGGTTGTTCAAAGTCTTGCGTCGATACATGTACTGGGTAGTTGTTTTGTCAACCACATGACGAATCATGTTCACTGTCTTTCAGCGCCGTCCTATCGCCTTGTTCCCGGTCCCCATTATGGCCGCGTGGAAACCCTATACCAGGGCTCCTGGGGTACGGCCTCTGTGGACGGCTTCGGCAAGGAGGAGGCGGACGTGCTTTGTCGCTCTCTTGGCTACACCGGCGGTATAGGCAGCTTCCACAGCGCAGACATGTACGGCGTTGGCTCTGGGGAAATCTGGCTCTCGGGGTTGTCCTGCACAGGAAATGAGAACTCTCTGGAAGAATGTCCGCCTAAAATATGGGGCGGTCACACCAGCGCTACGCACGCCAGTGATGCGGCGGTGTTTTGCTATGGATCGACATCCAGTAAGTGTGTTCTTATTTATTTGTTTGTTTGTTTATTTAAGTTTTTCATTAACGTCTAAGTAAGTTTGAATGTATTTTAAGTGAACTTGTTTTTGCAATATACATGTAGCTTTGTAATTGAAATTGTCAATTACTTTGCCAAACTTTTTTCTACAAGAAAAAGTACAATCAAAAATTATGTAATGATACTGATAAAATGACAAATATCACATAGAAACTTGGCCTTTCATTTAACTCAAACACTATGTGTATACTTTTAGGTTTGCTGTCCCACGGTTGGTACGGCCGCGTCATGCAGTACGTCGGCACCACTCTCAACAGCATCTGTGACACCAGCTTTGACGATAACGAGGCCAACGTAATCTGCAAGGAAAGAGGCTATGACGGCGGAAAGGCTTTCTGCTGTAAAACCTTCCACGGCTATACGTCTTTCACGTACGGTGATTTGGCGTGTACGGGCAGTGAAAGCTCCCTGGGGGCGTGTTCTCATTCAACAACATGCAGCGGAGGGATTGACAGGGCGGCGTCAGTTGTTTGCTACAAAAATAGCATAACTTACAGTAAGCTTCCATTTTTTTTTTAAATTTCGGTTTTGCATTGTGACATTATCATCTATCATCACTTATTAAACTTTTTTATTTAACGATTATTGTCAGTCCATTTATGTATAGAATGAGCAGTAGTGCACTCTTAAACAGATAATCAACTCGATATAACAACTTAAGTATTGTGGCTTATATACACCTTACATCCGAATTAAATAAAATATTTTGGTATGCATAAGAAGTACAAAAAGTAACTTAATAAGTCATGCAAATAGAAGAATCTCCATATAAAACATAATGAATAAAAAAAACATAGCATAAGAACTTGTAAAAGACACACGTTTCTTTATATTGAACCATTTCAGCGAGCACAGTGAGCCTGCAAACCAGTAACAACTACGGAACAGTCTTAATTACCTACTACAACGTCCCCGGCACCATCTGCGACGACAACTGGACCGTGGAAGATGCCACGGTGGCTTGCAAAATGGCCGGCTACCAACATGGCTACCCAGTGTTCACTGGTCAGATCTCCAACAGTTTGGACAGTCCAATATGGCTGAAGGATGTCCAGTGTGGAGGGACAGAGGGGTCACTCACTGCCTGCTCTGTTAGTGCGTGGGGTGGACACGGGGTGACGTGTGACCACAAACAAGACGCTGGGGTGATATGCTATGACACGGATGACAGTAAGTCATGCCCTGATCAATGATCTTAAATTTTGGCTTCCCTGATCTGTAGTGTTTGTGCGTATGAGAGCCTGTGTCTTTAGTGTGTGTATGTGTGTGTGTGTGTGTGTGTGTGTGTGTGTGTGCATGAGCGTGTTCGTGCGTGCGTGTTTTTTGATGCATTCTAAGTTTAGAGATGTTCATGTTTGTGAAAGTGTATGAAGATCTTCGACCTTTATTCATGTTGATGCATGTGGGTTTGGGTATGATGAGATTGTGTAAAGAGGAATATTAACGCCGGAAATCTTACCATCCACGTCTTAAAATTGTATCATAGAAATTGCATAAAGTTCGTCACGATAACGTATTTCCTGTTGTAAAAGCGTACATATTGTAATAAAAAGTACGATAAGTTCAGTTGGAGGCAATGTACATAATAATATGCTGATTGCTCGTAACTGTTATGTTGCTATGATATTGGCTGTAGCTAGGCTGATTTCATATACGTTTTCTATTCCATTTAAGCCACTGCCTACAGACTGACAAGCAGCTATTACGGCCGCGCAGAGGCTCACAAGTTTGGACGGTGGGGAAAGACATGCGTCGACAACTGGGACGACAACCAAGCCAAGGTGTTTTGTAAGGAGAAAGGGTTCTCCACGGGGTATGCCAGTTCCTGGAAGCAGGCGCCGTGGCCGACGTTCGTCAAGGACTTCAGTTGTGCAGGAACTGAGGGCAGTTTGTCCCAGTGTGTGGGGTCTTTTGGTGCCACTAGCCGGTGCACGGATACCACGCGTTCAGCAGTCGCGTATTGTACGCAAGATACACAAGGTGAGGATTTCTGATGTAGGAATGTTGCACATGTAACCCCACTCCCAGCCACCCCTAAAATCATAATATAAAATAAAATTAACTGATTTGTTGAATTGGTGGAAACACATGATCCCATTTGAGAATTTAGCTGAAATCCAGATCGCAGAAATACAATGAATATCAAATATTTTACCTGAAACTACATTTGTCGGTCGATTGCAGCCCCGGTAGAAATTTCAGATGGGACTCTGCGCTTAAAATCATGCAGCTTACATAACCATTTGCACAGTTAATAAAAGGTTAATTTTCTTCTCATTTTAAATATGCTTTCGTCCTGCTACTCAATTTTTATATTATTATGTTTTCTGTTAGTTTTGGACGCATGTCCAGCTGGCTGGAAAGTATTCAACAACACGTGTTACCTGTTCCATACTACGGGACCTAAGGACTGGACACAAGCACACGACCACTGTAACAACCTCAACGCGGAGCTGGTGTCATTTGGCTCTGAAGAAGAAAAGGTCGGTGCTTGTCACTCTGGGTTCAATATGACATAAGTTAAATTTTAATAAAAGTGGAAAGAAACGACACCAGCTTGTGCAGTGTCAAGATATTTTAACAACATTCCATGTTTCGGAGTTAAGGAGTCTTCTTTGGCGGAAGTGTTTTATTCTGTGTTTTAGTAGCCTTCAAATCGCCAAAGCTTTTTTTAAATACGAATAAAGTTACAGCAGAATGAATGAAATAATGTTAACTGATACGTGATTGAAAACAGAAGATGAATGTCTCTGTGTAATGATATACCTAAATTGAATGCGGTGAGAAACTTTTATTTTATATGTTTTTATTCTGATTATCTAGACCTGGGTGATGTCCACCATGCTGGCCACAGCTAACAGTGGTTACATGATCGGTCTGAGTGACCAGGACCACCATGGCTACTTCATATGGCTGGACGGGACGGCCAACTGGCTGGCCAATACAATGTGAGGGCCCGCATTTTCTAATGCTGAACCTGGTTTATTTTACGCAATGTTCAACTTAAAAGTCAAATAGATACATGTAGAACAGTTATTCCAGTGTGACATCCCGCCGACTTTACTACGCAGTGTACTGACATAATGTGTACAAAAATACTACTGCAGCAAGAAAACATGTCTTTTTATCTAAAACTTTAAATTTTCTTCAGCCCATGGGGTAGTGGGGAGCCAACTGGAGCGACGCATTGTGTCGAAGCGCGCACAACAAACCTGCTTCACGTGATAGCATGCACGGGAGTCACGCGTAATTTTGTATGCGAGAAGAAGCGAGGTGAGTTTAAGCCTGTGGCCTCTATTAGCCGTTGTCTAAAATTTATTGATATTTTTTCGTAGCCTCATTATATCTAATTATTTCTTAAGGTTCTTTAAAAAAATGTTTTTATCCATTTGTCGTATTTCTTTTTTATGAAACTGTAAGCATGGAAAGCCCCAATCTTTAACTTTTAACTCTTTCGGTAATACACCCCTTGTCATTCTACTCTGTGGGAAAACTGAAATTATTTCCAGTTGTTTGATGTACATGTTTAATTACTGACTGGATAAAATTGATGATTATTGTTATTGTTATACTGAGAATAAATTATTATGAAAATGGGTCAAATAATTACATGTACAACCAGTTATGTTATTTTCCGTTTAAGATGTAGTATTGAAAATCGCCAAGTGAAATAATAAGATTTGGGCTTACGCACAAAAATGTTTTGTTGCAGACGACGTCAGCTTTCGGTTCGGCGGGAAAGGCGTCAACTTCGGTCCGGTTGAGGCGGCTATCGCCGGTCATTGGGGGTCAGTTTGCCGAACGTACTGGGACAGCACGCATGCCCAGCGACTCTGCCAAGAATTGGGCTACACTGGATGGAAGGCATACGCGTACACGCAGTTTGAGACGCCCTATCGGCCCTTCAGGTACACCATGGACCACGGCTGTGGGCGTCCCCCGAGCCGCCATGATCACCCCCTGAGTGCGTGTAATCATTATGGTTATGGGTGGAACTATTGCGGGTCCCAGTACAGTAGTAAGGCTGCTTCGGCTGTTTGTTTCAACCATGATGCAGGTAAGTGTTGTTTAGGGCACTTTATTTACATGGAAGTCAGAGTCGCCTTGCGGTGTTCCTTAATGATATCCATACATCTCCCAGCGTGTACTAAAAATTCTTCACTCATCTTGCTTAACTGTATCCCCCCTCCCCCGTACTGTAAATGCCAGTTTCTTTAAATCGTTTTTTTTTTGTGGACACAAATGAGCAAAATGGAATATAAACTGAAGGGTTACATGGGTTAAAATGCCTGTGCGATATTTTATTCCAATAGTATCTATAAAATGGACAATCTTTGGGGGATCTTGTTTTATAAATGTATTTTTGCATCAATTTCATGAAATCAATCAAGCCAAATACATGTAATCTATGTTAAACAGTAATTCAATTGAACTTTGTTCAGACCAATAAAATGCAAAGAGACTAAATGTTATGTCCAGACACAAATAAGCTCGGATAGGACAGTTGCAAAATGTTTTATCTATCCTGTGTCTATTCCTTTTTGTCTTTCAGATCAAACATTGACCTTTTCTACCATTGGCCACAATCCTAGGTTTTACGAATATCTAGATATGAATGTGGAAAACAGAAACTTCATCATCATTGAATGCAAGATTTGTAACGACATGCATGTTGGTTTGGCGGAATTTTGGGGTGAACAGGTAGGTTTTTTGTACGGATAATCAGCCTCAGTGCTTCAAACTCGGCCAAAAAGAGACTCAAAGTACGAAAAATAACATGTGCTGTAAGGTAGGAAATCCTCCACTTAAACTCGTCACAACCAATGACAGTTAACTTTAAAGTTTAAAAACAGATATGACAAAATGGACATGTGTTAATATATACATGTACCTTAACATACTTTAGTAAAAGGACATTTTATGGCATTATTAAGGGTGAACACTCGGGTTTCCCTGCTGCTCTACTGCAGTTCAGATACTGTGCATCTCGCCTCGGCCCGTCATTCTAAGCCGGAGGTGACACACGCACAGCCGCCTTATATTCTTTAACGTGATCGATCTGAAGGATAAAGTTTAACTTAGATTATGTTCAGGCATCTTCAATTTTCTGGGAACAGGTACCTCTTTATGTTTCGCTCATAAAATCGTGTTATTTGCCTCATTTGAATATGCCACCAACATGTATATGAATGTTGTCTATATTTGCAATCATATTTGTGATCGCTTTCGCAGACGAACATCTACGAGATTGTCATAAGCGGGTGGGGTAACACACAGAGTGCAATACGTGGAGAGCTTGGCACAGACCAAAGGGCTGTCGCAAGCACCAGTGGCTTCGTTAACTGCAACCAGTTTAGGACGTTTTGGTTCGGATGGCACAATAACAAACTGGAGGTGGGGCAGGGAGAAACGTACGGAGAAAATCGGTTTCTGTTCCACCAAGACCAACAGCCAAGACCAATTTCTTACGTAGCCGTCAACAGCTTTACCATTGCTGGTGATTGGAAAAGTACGGTGATATAATATTTGATCTGTGCATGAGCGTACTGTTTCCTTTACCTAACTCTTTTCTACAATTTTTGAAACTTTGATCAGGAAAAACAAGATAAGTTTTGCGTATGATATTGAAAATAACATTGAGGATCCAGCATTTTGCAAAAGGATTGGGGCGGGTGCGTAGATAAAGAAGCGTAATCCTCAATTCACTCTGCAATTTTTAAGAAGAAAACAGAGACACGTTTATGGAAAACATAAAACATAGGGGTTGAAAGTGTTTCATCTATTTCTTTCTTTATCTTTCTTTCCTTTGTTGCTTGCTGTACTTATAAAGGGGTAGGGAAAAGGGATATACATGTAAACTAAGATGATGCAATAACCCCTCCTCCTAAGTTCGCCACATCATAAGACAGGGTCGTTGAAAACTATTGTCACCCTTTGTACGCCAGAAAAACTACTTATCTTTACTTGAAATCTAGACCTACTGAATATTACCAGTAAAGTTACAACATTTAGACCTACTTGAGGTGGTCAATCCTGTTGAAACATAACACTTCTTTCTCTCTCCAGTTCGCCTGCCGGACTGTCCACATGGCTATTACCCCGGCCCTCTGTCTACCAATGCATGTTACAAGTTTGTTACCCAGGCAGCAAGTCACCAGGATGCTCAGAGAGACTGTTGGCATGACAACGCCGATCTCGTGACGTATGCAAGTGATGTCGAGAGGGTAGGCTTAGACATTTGACGTGACGAATTAAAGGAAAATTAATATGTCGTTAGATGTTATAATGATACACTGTATATGATGACAATATAGCCATTGTCCATTTTCTGATGTTAAAGATATCAGATTTAATGGCATACCGCGTTTCTTTCGCGTTTATTTTTCATAACATCAATATCAAAGATGGCGGATATTTTTTAAAATACATGCAATATAATTGGTTAAAGATTATGTACATTTGATTTGAAGTCAATTATTTTTGTCGTAAATAGAAGATGTACACCGCATAACAGATATAGTCTTTCATATAGTCTTTCAGATAAATGCTGTTCATGTGTAAAACAACACAATGTTGCCTCTCTTTTAGTCAGGCGCTGGTTAGACATTAATCACACTCTTTGAAACATAGGTTCAAATAACGTTCGTTTGTTAATTTTTTCCATAATTGTGATTTTTAAGCTGTGGGCAGAAGCGCGCATGCGGGACAATGGCGGCGGGTGGTGGCATATTGGAATGAGTTACCTTGGTAACGAGAAAGGAGACTTCCAATGGGTAGATGGCACAGCCATGGTTGACTCTATCCTGTAAGTTCAAAAGTCCATTTTTACCAACATTTATCAGTTGAACAAGTCTCTCTCTCTCAAAATAAAAAAAAGATTTTTTCCATGAATAAAATAAAACATTCCTTTATTTTCCATTTCGGACAACGGATACTTAACTTTATGTGATTTCTTGATATGGGCATCCCTTGCATGTCACGCATTATATTAATTGATATTTATGTCGAGCAATTCTTGTGAAACCGATTTTTTCTTTGATTTTAGTTTTAGCTTAAATGAATACAATCTAGCTATACACGTAGAATCTTCTCGTGTCTCAAACAAATGACCGACATTGCACCTATATAGGCTTAAAAAACTGTCCTAGCTCAAAGTCTTCAAGTTTAGCAGACACTGGTGGCAAGTATTTGACTATATATATATATATATATATATATATATATATATATATATATATATATATATATATATATATATATATATATATATATATGTTGTGCGTTTTCTTTACATTTTTGAGATATGCATATATAGTCACATGCTTATACATGTACCAGTACGATATATAGCATTGCATGATGCAGGGTATGCAGAACAAGTTGAACCAATTTTTTAAAAATAGGAAATGGGAGTCCAACGAGCCAAATGGCGATGGTGCTTGCATACGGACGCTCAGCGACTCAAATGATGCAAACGCAATGTTGAGTGACTGTGTGTGCAGCGACCTTTTGAAGTACACGTGTAAAAAACCGAGAGGTAAGATTTCTGATATTTCAGTAACGATGGCCCTTTGAATAAACTAACAAATACGGGTATATAAAATGCAAGGTCAAGTCTTTTTTTCAAAGGGATCCTCAAACGGATTTCATTTGTTAGAGATATCATAGGTTTAATTTAGGGAGCCTTTTTTATTGTTATTATTAGGATTCCCCATAGGGGAATACTATTGTTTTTGGTAGTATTATTATTCTTTCCGCGCGTTTTTTTTTCGCAAAAAATCTGAAATAATTATCATAGGTAGCCTATGGTCAGAATATGCCACAGAACCAGTTTCAGTGACCTTGACCTACTTTTCAAGGTCACAGGGGCTTTTAAAGGCAAAAATTGTAAAATTTGAAATTGCCATTAGGCCTAAAGTATAAGCCATATGGCTAAGAGCCTTATGGCCAGTGATACTGAGGTGAATCCACAGATAATGACCTACTTTTATGCAAGTAGGTCAAGGTAAAGGTCGCTAATGGGCAAACGGGCTCAAAAAAGGTTTGTTTCCGAGATCTCAAGAACCGGAAGGCCCAGAGCCCCAATCATAGTGGCAAATGATGCCCTATATATATATATCTAAGGTTAGCCGTACTTTGGTAGCTACTGCTTAATTACTTTTTTTAATATAGATTTTTAAATATTTATGACATTGCAGAAATCTTGAGTTTGGCAATTTCTTCATGAAACACTGGTTTTTGGTCATAGCATGCTAAAGTAAACTACCCCAAACATATACCCAAAACCCCCAAATCAAATGTCAAATTTGACCTTGACCCTCATTTTCAAGGTCATTTGGCTATTTCATGGAGAATTATTGACGTGGGCTAAAAGTGATGTTTTGTTGACCCCCCCCAATTCGCACATGCTCTTTCAGAATATGGGATCAAATTTAACCCGTGACCTTCACATGACCTTGTAAGAGCATTTCCACGCCTATTTTGCAGGGGAATCCTCCGCCACTGGCTTTAGCCAGTTGCAGTCTAGTTATTCTTGTTGCTATTGTTGTCTTTGTTATTCACGCAGTATTTAAAAATTACCAATGTGCAGTGAAATGTTATTCTGGTTAAAAAATCTTGCTCACATTTATCACAGGAAATACCCAGCGTCTGTTTGTGTACCGCTGGGGCGACATTCGCTCCCCTGGTTACCCATTGTCTGACTACCCTGTCAGTGTGACGTATAACTGGTACATCCGGGTACCAAAGGAGAGACACGTGGCCTTGAAGTTCGCACGAATCAGTTTGGAGGGAACGAATGGGGCGTGTACCAAGGATTATGTCGAGGTATGTTGATGTAAACGTTTGGGGGGGAATATTTGATTATTCACACAAGCTCAAGTGCGCAAACAACAACTAAAGCCATATGAAAACCATGAAAAGCATAAAATTATAGACGCACACAAGATGTATACAAAGAAGTGTTTTTTTATTTACTGCGAAGCGTACATGCTCGCTTTAAATGGCGTACAAAACACATTATCTTCATTTATTATTTAATTTTTTTTTCATTTATTTATTTTTGAAAAGTCTAACATTGTATCACATAAACATATTTTAGGTTCGTGACGGCCATGACAGTAATGCGGCCATCATAGGGAAGTACTGCGGTGACGTCATGATCCCATTGATCAGGTCCAGTAGCAATAAGCTATGGGTTAAATTTGTCTCAGACGGGGACACCACCTCGGAGGGGTTCGCCGCGTCCATTGTGGCAGGTAAGCAGCTGATATGCCCTTACGTTTATGTTTTCTTGTATTAACTCATAGCGTACATGTATCTATGCAGGGGAGTAGCGGTACATATGGTCACTCACCTCCTCTCTTCACCTCGGAGATACGCCTTTCTTCCTCCCAAAAATTATTTCTATCAGGCAGATCGTAGACATGCCTCAGAATTGCACCACACCCCCAACCAACAGTCATTAACGAAAGTCTTGTTTGGTCAGTGAATCCATAGTGCGGGTTATCACCTTTATTTTTGTATATGTCAGTTTTTGTTATATTTCCAGTACATACTGTAGCACATATCATGCTGAAAGCGATACGTTTACAGTGAACATTTAACTATACGTCGAATTATTAAAAAACAAATTTCTGTGCGGTGCCATCGTAATATCTCACGGATTGCTTACATTAAATGCATGTTTTATCATAAGAACAACTACTGAAACCATCTTCCCAAAATAAGAATTTTCCAATATAGTCAGTCTTTATGCGATTAACTTTTCTTTTAAATAGAATGTGGAGTCGGATATGAGCGCAGCGTCTGGACGAAAACCGCCGACCTGAGCAGTCTGTCCGGCAAGGATTTCATGGTGAGGACAGCCAGTTCAGTTGCAGATTGTCAGATGGCCTGTGACAAGGACTACACGTGTTACGCGGTGTACTTTGACTCTGCTAACGCCATGTGCTACATGCAGCTGAGAGGGCTTGCCGGCATGAGGGTGCAACTGGGGGATGTCAGTTTGGAGAAATACGAGCATGAGTGTCAAGGTAGGGAAGGGATTGTTGCTTATTGCATATTTATAATTTAAACTGTATTCATACTCGAACATTTTGGAAGTCATAGGATAGAATGATGGGGAATACACAAGTTGTATAGGAATTTCAAATTGGTGATATGGTTGCTAGAAACATTTACAGTGCTTGAGTAGACTGGTTGATTGAGTGATTGATTTAAACAGGCTTGTAAACTCTTGTAATTCTTTGGAAGATTGATTCATTGATAAAGATAGGAGAAGAAATATATCAAATATTTTAAAACATGAGATACTACCATGTACTCATGCAAAACTTTTACTTTTTACAGCTTGTTCTCGTCTCTGGACATCGTCCACCGGCTATTACACCACACATTTACTGGACAGTCGTGACCAGATGACGCTGGATGACTGTAAACAATGGTGTCAGGACACGCCCTCCTGTCAATCAATCGATTATCTCGATGGCAACCAAAGATGTTACCTACGATACGGAAGCCTCGCCACTGGAGGAGCGCTTAACACTAACGCCGCCTATGTTCATTATGAAACATCTTGTGAAGGTATGTCATTGGTAAATTTTCATCATGAAGTAACAGTAAGCACTCTCGATCATGTTTTATTGCTCCATTTTCCCTTTGATGCAAAAATGTTTTTAATATGTAATAAATACTTTTTAATGTTTCATGGTTTCAAAACATGATGTAAGCTGTAAAACATTCCTCTTTTTTGCAGCGATTGCTTTTCAGCTTAATTTCAAAACGATAAGACTATCGTATTCTTTTCTCTAGCGCATACTCGTTGTTTTACCGTTGCAATTTCTCCATATGGTCGCATGCCACAGGCATGAGTTTAATTAATTAATAAATTTGTGTAATAGAAAGATGGGGTACCTTTTTATGATTACATTTCGCTTTTAGCTGTGACAGTACGATTACAAGACGGTGGTACCTGGTACGGTCGAGTTGAAGTATTTAACAACGCAACTAATACCTGGGGAACCATATGTCAGACGTACTTCACCAACAAGGAAGCAGATGTCGTTTGCAGACAACTGGGGTTTTTCGGCGGTCGAAGAAACGAGAAGTTTGATTCCAGTATCCCTGTGTATCTTGACCACGTGGACTGTACTGGCGCAGAGACATCTATCGAGCAGTGCATGTACCATGGGAGTCGGCTGGTACAGTTCCGCCACTCTGATTGGACAGTCCTTGGCGCATGCAGTGATGCCGCTGTCTACTGCTGGCAAGAAAAAGGTATATCGATTTTTGTCGGGAATTCCCTTTTCTTAATCGTGTCTTTTAGCTTGTGTTTTAGGTTCGTTTTTAGAGGCAACATGTATATTTTAACACTGGGGAGTTTTCTATGCACTTTTTAAATATTTTCTTATTTCAGTTAAAATGTACGGGGATAACAGAGTTCATGTCGCAAAATACTCCATATTTAATAGTTCTTGATTGCATTAAGAATACTTTTTCCATGAAAACATTTACCATAGCCAATTGGACCCGTTCCTTTCATTCAAAGCAACGAATCAGAAAGCAGACCCTACATCTTTTTTTCTAATTGTGTTCGGTACGTGCGAAAGTATTACCCTCTTTGGGCAAGATCGTTTATTTTGACTAATAACATATATTTTCTCCTTCATAGTAAAATGTGCCACCGATACAATCACGCGTTGGTGTTCAACTTGGTTTTTATTCTAGGTCCTGAATTTCGACTGGTCCCTGGTCCAAACTATGGGCGCCTTGAAATGGCGATTGATGAGAACTGGGGGACAATTTGCTGGTCGCACTTTAACTGGCATGAAGCGAGGATGGTTTGCCGCAACATGGGGTACATTGGTACGTGCATGTGCCTAGCGATTGGTTCCAATCGAACATGATGTCATTGGTTAAGGGATAGATAGACCGATAGACAGACAGACAGATAGATAGATACATGCAGATGTGCAGTGATAAAGAGAAAGAAAGCTCTAAAATTGAAATTTGATATATTCTCATTTGAATGTTTGTTCAAGTTCGCTCGCAACTGCGATTAAATGACTCGACGCCAATAAAGACTGACAGATATTTGATGTGCTGGAGAACATCATGTAAATTTCTGAATGTATCTGTCATTTTGCATCAGTCAGAATGAAAAGAAAAAAAATTGACAAATTAAGATAGTTGCTCAAATGATTTCGCGTATAAGTTTCAATTGCGCATGTAATTTGTCTATCCTAACGTTAACGGTCTATTGAAATTCAGGTCATCTATTTCAAAAATCAATTTCGAAAACCACTCTTCCTGCTTCAATATTTCTAACTGACGTAGACGCGTATGGATATGTAGTGAGAGCCCGAAGCAGAGGTAAATTATTGTACCGAGTTTAATTTTCAGGGATACTATTTAAGACCTTGTCAAATCATGTTTCCAGATGGTCACGTTATTACTGAGATAGATGCTTATGGACAGGGGAGTGGACGAATCTATATGAGAGGCCCTATTTGTACCGGGTCCGAGGCCTCTATCCTGGACTGCCCATTCTATCACGAAGGAATGAAGGAAAACGCCTGCGGTGGCAACCATGCTTTAGACGTTGCTATATTTTGCTTTGTGTCGACGTCAAACAGTAGGTTTAATATATTTTCTATTACATTTGTTGAGTGAGTCGAGATATTCTGTGCGCGTTGTTATTTTTTATTTTTATCTTTTTATTGTTTTTGATTAAAACTGCAATGAAACAAATTTTATTGTCTATATCACAACTGCATTTACCTAAATATACTTTGCGCCGAGATACAAATATCATGTATGAAATCCCCCAAACGATCTTATAATATTTCCTTCAGCTTGAAAATAAGAAACGTTGGGTGCTTTTACAACACATTTTTATAAAAGATCTAGGAATTAAGTTAAACAAGGAAGTATGAGAAATCGGCTAAGCTTAATCCATCATTTTGATTGACAGGCGCTGTGTTGTACGGTCACTTTGGACGCGTGGAGTTCTGGATAAACGGCGTCTACAATCACAGACGTCCAGTGTGTGACGGCAGTTTCGACGACACCGACGCGACGGTCGTCTGCAGCGAACGCGGCTTTGACTCCGGGCACGCCGTTTGCTGTGGGTCGTCTTCACCCTGGGGACATAGCTCGAGTAAGAGCAACTGGCAGTGCACTGGCTCAGAGAGTTATCTTCTGGACTGTACACATACCGACTCTCACTGCTCTCACTATCACTCAGCAGCTGTGTTGTGTTACCAGTCTTCTATAACGTACGGTGAGTAACTCACAACTGGTTGATGGTATAAAATGTAAATCTAAAGTCCTCATAGAAACTTAACGTGCTTTTCCCTATGAAGAATGACGTAAGTAGGCCTACATGTAGCTATCAAATGGTTGATGGTATAAAAGGAAGTCCAAAGTTTTTAAAGAGACATGGCGTAAGTACTTCACTAACAAATGGTTGACGATAAAAAATAAATTAAGTTTCTTAAGAGACTGTTGTTTGTACCTGTGCGGCGTGGAGTTTTTACCCTCAACGATGACGTCATAACTTCCAGGGCTCACGTTGCTGTGTCATGTGATCAAGACGCATTGATGAAGGGTGTAAACGTCATACCTCTAGTCTCTTCAGAAACGATTAACCTCTTGGTCACCTTTACACACGTGGCAATGAAACCCCTATCTCATCAATTTGTTCCATGTGTTGTATGAATTTCTGAAGGGCAAAACTGATGTACATGTACCAGCCATTCTTTTAACCCAAAGTAATATCCGAAGTAGTGAATTTGTTTTTTTATTCAGTCATTCATTAGTACTTATTTGTTTTGTATTTCATTGTAGTTGATTGGCCGTTTGGTCCGTAGATAAATTATAAATAATTTCATTTCATTTAAGTCAAAAAATAAGATATTTATTTTTGAATTTTGAATTAAAAATTTTCACTTAACCAGTCAAATAAAATTTTGAAGTAACATACAGACATAGGAACTCACTTTATCATTTATTGAACCTCTTTTTACTCACTTTGGCATTTTAGGAACAGATGCCTTAATTTTCTTACATATTTTTCGTTTCAGCCAATGAGTGGAAGCTTTCACGCGGCAACTGGGGGTTCCTGCAGGTGAAGTACAAGAATGCTTGGGGGATCGTCTGCGACGATGACTGGACGATAAACGACGCGATGGTTCTCTGTGGGGCTAAGGGTTTTGACAGTGCTATTCCTTACGGTAACGGCGGCCTAGGGAGAGACTGGGGGCCACGGATCTTCTGGATTCAAAATCCTGTCTGCAACGGGAACGAGGCCAGTATATTTGAGTGCACGTTGGGAAGCATAGGTGGCGGCTACTACCCGACATGCGACCACATGGTTGGAGGGGTTGGTGTTTATTGTTATGATTCAGGCGCGGCCTCGTGTGAGTATTTTTTGCTATTGCTTTAAATAATGAATGGAAGCATAGAGTTCTAGTAGATACCCCTTCCCCTCAGATAAGAGCTTAACGGCTATTTATCAACATTACCCTTTCTTACACCTAATGCTGTGAACATGAATACACATTTCCTGCATGCGCTCCATATTCCTTACATAGTATTCCAAATTATTTCAAACCAGCGTATAGCTTCCGTCTGGCTGACAGGACATCTACGTACGGCCGCCTCGAGGTGAACACTCTCGGGGAATGGGGGGCAGTCGGAGCGGACCCCAACCTTTCCCCCACCAGCCTGGCCAACCTAGCCGTGGTGGCCTGCAAATCAGTGGGCCTTGAAAATGGCACTGTGGTCTTCGGTAACCCAGTGGGTTATCCATGGCGACCCATATGGTTTTACAATGTCACGTGCACCGGAAGTGAGGCCTCTTTGGATGAGTGCCAGAGAGCGCCAATGAGCGAGGCTGCGCACTGGGACCGACGACTTGATGTCAGCATGGTGTGTTGGAATAACGCCAACCCGCCAGGTAACGATTCTGTTTTGTTAAATTTAACCAGTTGCATCATGGAATGATAGTTTCAAAATGAGATGAATGTTAAAAGTGTTAGAGAACCATTGTGAGAACCAATAATAAAAAAAGTGATGATGATGATGATGGTGATAATATTAATAATTATTATTATGACTTATAGATTTAAAAAAATTACCTTTTACAGACATAACGATCAGCCTATCCAACGGTTATTATGGTAGAGTCTATATCCAGTACGGTAGCGATCATGCTGGAATCATATGTCAAGACGGCTGGGATGACGCCGATGCTACTGTGTTGTGTAGAACACTAGGATATTATGGCGGAGTTGCATCAGGTGAGACGGTCGATTGTGACATGCTTAGTACCCAGCAAACACATAACGTTATTATAACATTACCATAACGTCAATTTTACAAAAAAAAAAAAAAAACGTTATGGCCACGTGATGGTAACGCTATAAAACGTCAATGGCTAAAGGGCGGCTTTTACTTGTACAAACTAACGTTGACACGATAATTGGTCTGAAAATTTAGGCAAGTTTTGACTGAGAAAGGAGATCTTTTAGATCGGTCTTATTTTATAAATCCAAACACTCGCTGATGTCCGTACCAAGAAATTATAGGGTATTGAATCTGTCGAATCCACATAATGGTCTTGTTTATTAAGACCAGCGTATACGTGTGACTCTAATAACAAGAGTACTTGTTTATGTTGATTTCAGTGACATTGTTTTCTTGTCTTCTTAATCAAGGTTTACCGAGGCGGACCTACTCATACTGGCGACCCATTTTCATGACTAAGGTGGAATGTACTGGGAATGAAGCCAGCATATTTGATTGCCCATGGTCCATTTCGGCAGATCCTGACCTGTGTTATCTTGGAGATCACAGAACTCCTGCTGGGGTGGTCTGCTTTGACTCTGCTGGTATGGCTTTACTTGAAGAATTATATTATGAATAATTTTAATTTAGAAACTGAACCAACTGACTGATGGAGACTGGCGCAAGAAAAAATAAATATAACATATATCTTTTATTCTTATGTTCTGTCCCAATTTCCAGAATCAAGCGTCATAGAATACCGCCTTACAGATGGGCACCCATACCGTGGTAGGATGGAGATGTCCATGAACCATGTGTGGGGAACAGTGTGTATACATATTGATAGTTCTCACATAGATATATACTGCCAGTAAGTAGTTTCCACCGTGGATTTCACTGACCACTTCTCATATCGATAGATCACGTAGTTTCTGCATGTCAATACCTAAGTATTTATCCCCTGGGATTCACAATCTGCTACACGTATATCGATACTTCTCACATACATATATATATATATATATATATATATATATATACTGTCGGGAAGTACTTAGCACGCTGGATTTGCAATCTGCTTGAAAATCTGCAAAGGTAACTTGCAGCATGTTCTGGGTAGAGAATCAATTCAATCACTGTTCACATTCAGATACTTAGGGTGGCATTATAAATTTAACACTGCAGCGAGCATGTCTTGCCACACCTTTTCCAAACTTTTCCAAACTCGATTTAAGGTCATGGTGCTCTCATTAGCAGGCACATTTTAAAAAACTGTCCGCTTCGACCTCGCCACAGAACACAAAGAGGTCATGCTTCATTCATTCAAAACTTATTTTGATATAGGCAATCATCATACTAGTCTAATAATTTGTGGTAATTGAAACATCCCACTTGCTATCTCTTTTAATTGTATCAACCAGTGTTCACACTTCTGCTTAATACAGATTTCAAGTTAAGTGCGCATCTGATATACCTGTCTTTGTTCAGTATTTCCGAACAGTATTTGCAACATTCATTATTTCTGTTTAAATTGAATATTGCACAACTCTATCTGGTTTTTCCATTTCCCGTCTTCAGACAGGTTGGGTTTGATGACGGTCAGATGTACACCGACGGTCAAGGTACTGGTCCCATTTGGATGCGAACATACCATAGTTGTACAGAGAGCAATATCCACGATTGTAATAGATATGGCTACGGTTTCACCCACTGCAATCACGGACAGGATGCTGGCTTTGCCGGCGGAATGTAGATCAAGGTGAGTACAATTCTGGCTTGTGAATAGCATTTGGTTAAGGAGTGTTGTTGTATTTTTTTAATCCCATTGCCCATTTCAGTGTGTGGAATGTGCAGATCATATACAGGCACTTTATTGATCTGATTATCTTGCGTGAAAGGCTCATAGTGAGTGTTATATAGTTTAGTGGAAGAAATGCATTTTTCTTGGAAATTTTGACGCTTTTCGGTCATCGAATTAACATTATTTCGAAAAACGTTGACATAAATACGATCTTTAAATCCATTTAAGCTCTAAGTATGACTCTCAGAATGGAAGAGACTGGTAAATTTCACTCATAACGGAGATATTTAGAACTCAAAAAGCAATTGTACATGTAGGTCAGAATTTTTTCAATAATTAAAATTACTAAAGAAATATCAACTTTCCGGCTAAATTCAGGTCCAATACGCTTTCTTTACCTAAATATACAGTTTTGATTTCTACCCCAACGATCAAATCAATTCCCTTTTCAGTGTGCGATAAGCCCAGACTTTTTAAAGGGGAAGCTGGTTTCTTTAGAACGCCTGGGAACCCCTTTGAAGTGTATGGAAACGATCTTCAGTGCGAATATAATATCTTAGTGCCACGTGGGTATCGCGTGGCATTGCACATTACCGATTTAAGGGTAAGAAAACCTCAAACTCTACCTACTTCTTATCTGTTATTTCTAACTCTTATTTATACTGTGCATGTACCTGTATGAAATAAGATTTACATATATAAAGAATTTAAATGCTTTCAATTATCATTCTCTAATTTTCATTCTCTATCGTACACAATCATATATATATATATATTGAAATTGAAATTGAAGACAATCAGAATACAGGACCGTATGTTGAGAAAACACTTGGGGACAAAAAATGCTTGTGGAACTTAACTCTGGACGCTGAGTGAAAGTGAAGGGCGAGGCTTTTAATGAATTGGGAGGAAGAAAATATAAATCCTTGTTAAAGACCTCGGACAAATTATTTTTCAAAAATTTTCCTCCCCCTCCACCCGTTCCCCAGTGCCTGCGGCCCATAACGATAGCATGGAAAGGAAATGTGTTTTATTATCTTTTTTTGCCTGCTATAGATTGAGAGCTCTGTTAACTGCGCTAACGACTATCTAGAGATACGTACACCAGGTGTGGTGCAGCATTTCTGCGGGACTGACAACCCCGGAACCGTACTGTCGTCTGCCAACCAAATGCGCGTGCACTTTGTCACCAATTCTGCTACTGGAGACTATGGCGTGGCTGCATACTTCCAAAGTGGTTGGTATTTAATCAATTTTGTAATTAAAAGGAAAATACGACCTTGATCATTTCCCATAGCAGCTGGCCCATGTACTGTTTTTGTTTAAAAGTTTATAATGGTAAGAATCCTGTGACCCACGACACTGTTGCAGGAATAGAGTGTAAAAATGAAAAACGTTTTAGTCCATTAACAGGAAGACGTGTATGGCGGTTGCATATAGATTGTATTATTCGTATTTGGCTTAAAAGGTTGAAGTTAACCTAGAAAAAATGTAGACATATATCAAAATTAGTTATTTTTATGGTGCAATGCATAAAAAGGACTAACGTTTAAATAATTCAGTGACTTCTCCTTAGGTGGCATATAACGATCAAAAGTTTACATTGTTGATAAATTTACATGCACTTTTATGCAACATGTCATCTGTTATGGAACGCCTAATCCTTTAAGAAACATGGGATTTATATATGTTCTTCCCCACCAGATTGTGCTGGAGCTACTATGTGGACACTTCAAGGCAATGTGACCAGCTTACACGGCAGGGACTTCATGGTGCGAACAATGGAAAATGCATCCGCATGCCAGTTAGAGTGCGACAGGCAAAATTTCTGTAACCAGCTGTTTTACGACAGCGCCAATGCCAAATGTTATATGAAGCTTCTTGGGTTCGTCGGTGACAATATAAGCTACAGCGACGTACAGTTAATGCGTTATGTGAAGCTATGTATTAGTAGAGGTACGATATTATAATGGCTGATCGGAGTCATTTCCTACTTCATTTTGTTCACGTTTTCAAATAATTGATTAATTATCCATTATCCGAATTCGGAAGATATATAACAGTTACTAAGGAAACATAAGTATCAAACTGATCACAAATGCTACGTAAATGCCACTGACATTGGTACATGTGACATTGGTTCATGTTTATGTGCAGAATTTCTTTTTAAAAAATCTCTACTTGGTGGCTTTGCAACCGTCCATGTCCAGTTAAATATGACACAATGTCTATTTTTTACATGTTGATAAGTCACGTTGGTTGCCACGCCTTTCTTTCAGCTTGGAATGAACAATGGATATCCCACAGTGGACGCTCCATGAACAGTGCCTTTCTCTCCACAACAACCGATATCACACTAGACCATTGTAAAGAAGAATGCAGACGACGGCCATCTTGTGTCTCGTTTGACTTCCGGTCCAGTGGGGGACGGTGTAGACTACATTCAGCGACTTCCGGTGAAATATCTCTTATAACCGAAGCTGGAACAAATTTTTATGAAGGTATGAATTGACATGAAATTTAACCGGAGCGAAATATGTGGAGTATATTTCCTAAAATATATATTATGGAACAAGTACAAAATTTGTCAGTTACTCAGACAAGATGCTAAGTAAACTAATCATTATGTCTTTTTGGGCGTTGGAGCATTCGCAGCTTCACAGGACACCCTAGCTCCCCCCTCCCCAGAAATAAAAGTGCAATTAATAGCATGACAAAAAAGTGAGACAAAGGCAAGGGTTTAAACATGTATGTCCTACATTTTATCGCATTTTTTTATTCTTCTTATGTTTCGTCCAACACTCGCTCTCTTCTCTTGGGAATCCTTGGTACACTTAAGTCCGATATACTCTGTTTAAATAATGAAATTTATTTGAAAATCTAAAAGAACATGTGACCTAACGCCTATTTTATTTGGTAAAACTTGTCTTTTCTTCAAGCATCCGCTCCTGGTTCCTGTCAAGAGATTCGAGAATCTCAAGGCTCTCGCCCTGTGACTGGCTGGTATCGTCTGCGCACCCAAACTCACGTTATAATGGCGTTTTGCGAGATGAGACGATATGGCGGAGGGTGGACGCTGTTGCTGGCAACAAGTTCACGGTATCTGTACTATTGTCTTAAGTGTTTCAACCTGAATTACCTTTCTCGTAATTCAACTTTAACTAGCATTCTGAAACATGTTGTAATTAGCAAACTATGGAAAACAAGATGTTATGAAATTATGAAAGGCTTAGCCATTGCTTTCCCGAAATTAACAAATACTTACAATTAACATAACTCTAAGTTTCTTCATACATTTTTGAAGCTTTTGTATTTTGATTGAACTACCCTACGATCCTATCTTGGATCCTAGAACCGGCATAGTCTACCGGCTCTTTGCAAACTCAGTGTTAATATCAATTTGACCAACTTTTGGCACAATATAACATTAAGCCTGATGAAATGTTTTTCGCATATTTTTTCAAATTCTGATCCATCATGCATTCTTATTATATGTAGATCTTGCTCCCAGTCGACGCCACTGTTGGCGACAAGCGCCCATACCCCCATGGTACGAGATTACTCCATACTGATGCACATAGAGTCACTGCGAGGCAAGTCTCGAACTGACCACGTGGAGGTGAGTATAAACGCACTGGCGGTTCCAGAAAAGAATAAGGTTACTTTTATTCATTACTTTGGCAAATATACTATATTCAAAAGTTGACGAGGACGATTAATATGTTTATATGTTTATGCAGGGCACAGGGGAAAATGACTTGACTTTGTCTTGTTTTGCTTTTTGAACTGTTTTTATGGGGGTGAAGAAAAGGAAATGGTTGAACCTCGCGGCGCACTGCCCCTTAACTCCCATACTGTTTTAACGAACCGTGTCATTTTCAGTTTGTAAATGACGCTTAAATATTATTTCTTAATTACGTCGTTTCGTTTCACCGATAGTTCTTCGCAGAAGACAGTAACCCAGCTCGAAGGTGGCGAAATTGGTGGATAGTACCTAAGACGTATATAGAGGCCCGAGTCCGAAGACGACATCACATCGGTGTGAGCGCCATGAAGACAATTATTGCAGGACAGATTAAGGTTTGCTACATACCGTCGTGTCGTGTGCAATATTGATTTGGGTAGATGAATGTGATGTCATACTTATAAGTGACGTATTGTGAAGTCATACAGTAGCAATAATTGTCTGCAATAAGGTTAAATGTTTAAGATAAATGTCGTTTACTCAGCTAAAAGCATCTGCGCTTGTGTCAGGCGGAATGTATACTTTGTTAAGTTCATTGCTCTCAGACTTTCTGCAGTGAACTTAAATTTTGAACAAAATTGCTGGCTATAATACATGCATGTATGTAATTGTAGGGTTTGAACGATGGCAGCATTTTAAGTGACAACAATAACTTTCACTTTGGAGAAGATTGCAGCAACGCGGTGACTGATACTTCAGGGAGGAGTACGATATTCCTGTGGATGCGTTCTCCGAAGCAGACGATATTTGGTGTCAGGTGTTTCTATAGATACTGCAAAAATGGCGGAAGATGCTATTTCTACGGAGGTCAAAGGCAGTGTTACTGTTCTCGTGGTATCCATGGAGACAGATGCCAATATAGTAAGTGCACAATAAAGATACCTGTTGTACTTTACTCGTATTAGGTTTTTTTTCACGGTGCGTGTTTATTTTTGTCAGGGGAATTTTGCACGGCCAACTTATGTGGAATTGTATGGCATCGCTTTATAAATACACGAATGAGTTAAATTAAATGTCTGTTATGGTGACTGTTGATTTGAACCGGCGGATCAAGGAATTCACAAAGATTGTAAACGTTGTTGCCCTTTGCGGCACTTACATTATATTAAAACATGCTTGTAAATGAATCAGTCTTATTTCTCTTTTCAAAAAAAATGTGCATTTGGAATACCCCAAGATTTATATCACTAACTGACTCACGATAAGACAACTCGAAGATGTGACAGTTCAGTTTTAATGTTTTAATTGTTTACTTTTAGATGATGCCCAGTTCAAGAATCTTGGTTGTTGGACTGACTCCACAGTTGTGGGTTTAGAAACACTAGAAGGGACTGACCCTCGGCTGATGGACAACTATCAAACTCGAGAAGACGCAGTTTATAAATGCTACAAAGCGGCCAAAGCACGCGGATTTAAAGTGTTTGCTCTTAAAAATGGCGGGCAGTGCTTGTCGTCTGCATCGGCTCACCTGATTCTCAAAAGGAAACGGGAGCGTTCATTAACCTGTAACATCAACGGGAAAGGTGGGAGTCATGCAAAGCAATTTTACCAAATCATGCCAGGTAATTATTTGACACGTTTTCTCGCCTGTCTTTGATATCACATTGCTTTTCGTAATATCACGAAATAGTTATTAAAAACATTCTCTAGTATATTGCACCTTTAAATGTAAACACAACTTCATATTTCTCATCAAAATATATTAACATATTTTCTTTTGTATCGCCTCCTTTTTTATACATTCCAATGTACAAATTACGTCAACAAAATGATGTTGGTTTTTTCCAGGCAATAAGAAACTGAGCGCCCAGTACAAGGTACAAAAGAACATCGTCGTTGAAAACGCTGCCGCGTTGAAGTCCGTAACGACAAAGAACCCGATGATATGCATGGGACAGTGCACGGGGGAGGCGGAATGTACTGGGTTTCATTTCAGACCAATGCAAGGAGATACAGACACCAACTGCCAGTTAATCAGTACCGATGTCGCCGAGGCAACGCAGGTCCCTCACAGCACGCTGAGTCTGTATCTGCGTATACCAGAGGGAGAGGTGGAAGAAGAAGATTTTTACTAATTTGGGTATTTTAATTGAAATAATGCACCAGTTTACCAGTACCATTGACGAAACAGATAAACTAAGGCATTAACTATGACAATGACATTCTGTACATCCTAGGCATGACAGTTTTAATGGGTGAGAGTTTAAAGGGAATTTTAAGTATTTAGTGCCTATACCTATGGGCGCTATATGTTCAACAGTGTTGGCATATGCATTTAATCTATATCGGCACTAATTTTGAAACAAGATATCGCCGATACGGCGCTCTACTATATATGTCTTTAAGACAAATATGGTGGATTTAACCGTTCTCCATGTGCACTTACGTAACATTATGGTTAGATAACCTAACCAGCCTTTTCTTTTACACATAACTGAAACATATATACCGAAAATATATACCTGACTAACACGATCTTAAATTGTCAATTTTGCGACAAGCAAAGTATCCCATTTTTTTCTGATAACGGTCATTTCAGAAGCTTATTATGAAATGCGTTATTTATTTATCCTCTTTTCTGAAAATCATTAATCTATCTCCTATTCTAGTTACCCTAGATTGTAAAGTTAACATTTAACTTGTGGAGTCGGAGATTATCAATGACAGAGACAAGATTTATCAATAAAGAAAGAGTAAATTGGAACTCATATGTGCTCGCATCAAATCATTAAATCCGAAATAGCCATAAACAGCTAGCCCACAGAGATCAAATACATGTTGTTAAGCGCGACGATTTTTTGAAGTTGATACTAAAACTGTATTTATACGTATAATTTTGATGTGACCTTCGATCTGCAAAATTGTCAATACAAAGATCTGGCGATAGATAATGCAAAATATTCCACACTCGAGAGCATCTCCTTTCCCATTTTCTATATAGTTCGAATGTATCAAATGAAAACCATTTTGAATTTCTGTGGTAAATATCTTCTTTAATGTCTATGTTTAGAGCTCCCCCCCATTTTTTTTTTTTTTTGATAAAAGCAAGAATAGTCTGCTCCTAATACATTGTACATGTACCTGTAGAACCAACGCCAAGAATTGCTCTTTTGCAAAATAAAAAGAAGAAAAAAATTACATCTACCTCTGTACGACCGCTTGACTGCGCCGAAAGACTTGGTCGTGTCTTTTTATTATCAAAAATGCACCCATCCACCCACCCACTACCTTTCTCCCTACCCACACAGAATAATTTTCTAGCAAAACACGTATTGATTATTCTGTCACAAGCTACAGTCGTGGATAGATGCTGTAAGTACTCTAAGGACTGCTGAGCTGTCGTATCAACAGTTAGAAAATTCATCAGTTGCAAAGTCACATTACTTAATATCAGAAAACCTGACTGTGGCATGGCGTTATACATTTTCCCTGCACAACCCATTCCGGTGCCACAAATAAAATGCGTAGAATCAGATTTTACAATTCTCATATCAATATCAGATTAAACACTGAATGAAATTTAACTTTGACTTAAAGAAAAGTTCAAAATAATCGACTCAAACACAATGTTGTACTATTAAAAGGGACAGTCATCTAGAGCTCTAAGTCATGTTTCTACATTACAGATGGTGAACACGGACTCAAACTGTTGCCTAGAAGTAAAACCATGGCTGCTGACTGTCTCTGGAGGGAAAGATGATTACTTCAAATGGCATTATTTCAAATCAACGATAATACCCTTTAACCCTTATTCATTACTCGTGCAGAATTTCCATTACTGTTGCACTAAAAGTTGGTTCATATTCCTGATGTATTCTAAACGAAGCCGATTACCTAACTGATTATGATACATTTGTGATGATAATCGGTAATTTTTGCAATCCGTCTTCGTCAACTGTCCAATTTTTTTCGGGAATGTCTAAGAGAAAAAAATGGATTTTATTTCGAGACTGGTCTAAAAACATTAACGGTTCGGTTTGGTTATCGACCAAATGAATAGAAGCACGGCAAACTTTCTCTCTGTAGGTAAAGTAGTATACACATTTTGAACCCCTTCATCTTGGTGAAATTCGTGAATCGTGGCCCCCTTGTCAACCTGAACTCTAAATTCTGTGATTCAAGAGACATACGTGAACATTAGTCCCAATTATACAAGTACATTAGTTCGGGATTTTATTCATGGACAAGTCTTATTTTCTCAGACTTTTTATTCATGTGCACCTTTTGTTCAATTGTCCACTCATTTGTTTTGCTTTTTATGTATTCGTTCAGTCATTTATTTTCTTGTTTTTGCATATCGGCAATCACAAGGGTTTCTGTGTTTTCATAGAATGAGACAAATTTTGTAGGTTTTTTCTTAGATTAACAGCAACGTTTAGTTTGTTGAGTTGTTTTCTATAATACTCATGTTGTCAGAATGAGGAGACACCAGTAAATTACTCTAAACATGGACATTTAACAAAACAACAGAAAATTGCCAAACTCTGTCATTTTTTTTTAAAGAAAGAGTTGAAATTTAAATACTTGAATGGTTTGATGAAGTTGCCAAATGTGAACTTTTAAGATAGTATGTGAATCAAGACCGTCGAAACCCGCTTGTGGCTTGGTTTCATAACGAGGGCACGAATCAATGTTTTGTTTTCGGGCTTAACTACCTTGAGGTGCGAGAAGGGATGTTGACCAAACCCGCACGCACGCACGCACACACGCACACATTTACGTGAACCTTTTTCATATTTCACATGTTCTTCTGACGGTCAAAGGCCAACTGGTGTATTTTTATCATGTCCGCATGGTTTCTTGATTAGCACTTGAACAAGGCAAAAAAAGGAGTAAATTGAATTAGCTTTATTTTGTTAACCTAATTCAACTGCTGTCCGCGCCGCAACCTTTTTTTAATCTTCTACACGACTATTTGTCTGCGGGGAGATAATTTTAAATTCCTGACATGAAATTTCGCTTTGAACATATGCTGTCAAAATTTGATAGACTGCCTAGATCCATGTCAGAAAAGTCAAGTCGTTCTGGACCCTTTCGTACATGTATAAATGAAAAATTAACCCATTAAGTGATCAGATTCCATATTTTGAAGAAAGACAAAATCCCCAGAGAAATAATATTTCTGAATTAGACTCGACCACCTCAAGTCAATACTTGTTCTGAGCTAAGACTATTAATATTAAGTCTAGGTTACATTTCCCACGGGCGACGTACGATGAAATCATATACGATATTCCGTGCGATTTTTTTAATCGCAAGTGAAGACATGCTACCGATTAAGTTAATGTTATATCTTTACATTGTATGGGTAGGACTTTCGGGCAGTACACGAGCACCATACGGAGATCGCATGAAAAATGTAATCTAAGCTTAAGGTGTCGAAAGTTTCAGCTTGACAAAAACCGTAGAGGTCACAGAGGCCGTGAATCCGTACGATTTTGCACGGTCAAAGCCCGCCTCCGCACGAAAAGATTAAAAGGAAATATAGATAACAGATTTCTCTGCCACGACCCCATATCATGTTTTATTTATCAACCTCACACAATCATGAACAATAATTGACGTCGAATTTGATCTGTCATCCGAGACACGTTAACAACGTTCAAAGAGCGTACTTATGATTAAGTATACTACATCACGGTGTTACGGTATTACGAGTACTTTCAGGTGGTACTGGGTTTTCCTATTTTAATCTCCCTAATCTTCTCCCCACTCCACCTGTCATCCGTTTTCTGAGACTCACGATAAGCGTTCATAGAGCATAATTACGATCAATTTAAATGTGATATTGTTTAGATAGTACAACAAGTGCTTTTTAGTGGTATAAGGTTTCTTTTTTTCTTGGAGATTAAAACTCTCTCTCTTTCTCGATCTATTGGCGAGTTGTTTACAAGTGACAGCTTTAATTTCAACAGTTTGAGTGAAGCTAATTCGCATTATTTACATTTACTAGACAGTGCTATTACCTTGGACATTTACAGAATGGTAATCGGGGAAAAGTAATGCTTTTTCCCAGAAAAGCACGATGTGGAACAAAAACACAATTTCAAACCTTGGGAATTAGCAAAACACGAACTGTGACTCGAATTGACCATATGCCTGGCGGTCAATTGAATTTATCGATAAAAACTGACCGTTAACTTGTTTTCAGCAATAATTTTGTGCCTCCCTTAACTCTGCCATCAGTTAGCAAAGTCCACCAATGGTTTATAGCATTCGCACGCTCTCTCTCTCTCTCTCTCTCTCTCTCTCTCTCTCTCTCATTTTGACAAGCTTAATCATAGGAAATAGTAAGATCGAACGGAAATTCAAATGAGTACCTTTAAATCACTACTTCATACATGCACTAATCTAAGAAAAGCTCAAGGGGATTATGCACCGTTAACGAAGTAGGTGGTTCAGTTGGAATTAAGCTGGCTCTTATTAAGTAAAATCTTGGCCAAGAATGCTAGCTAAACTAGTTTTAAAACTGCCCCGATTAATTTTCACCCTAGTATGACACGCATGTACGCGTATTTGTGTAAAAACCCACACGTGCACATACAGATATGTAAGTAACAGATTAGAATTTGACTTAATATTTCATATTTTTATATTTTGATCTTTGAAATTGTAACGATAGTGTGGTTTATTTAAAAAAAGTGAATATTTTGGTTACGTCAGGAGCACGTATTGTGTGTAATATTTGCACAACTGTTTTATAGCAATTATTCATTACTTTTTCTCGGTTTCTTTCCATATTGGCTGGTACTGAAGTATAAAGAAGCAAAAAGAATCGAGAAATCCGCATTATGCAGTTCTGTCTGCTTTTGTTCTCCGGCGAATAGAGTTCAGATTTTGCAACATAAGGTCTGATAAAAAAATCTAAGACACCCTTTGTCTTTATCTTAACAACCTTAACGACAATGCTTCTCAGCTGATTTTGAGATAAAGCTTATAACCAATGGGAATAGCCTTAAAGGAGAATATCAGTACTACGTGACGTCTCATGAGACGAGAAATCTAGCAACTCGGCTTGTTTAGCTCTTATCGATTATCCATATAGCAATTAAGGGTTTTTTTTGTACGTCTAATAATTTGCCCCCCCCCCCTTTCATGTCAATGTCAAAGGTGAAAATGCAATTTTTTGTCAGTATTTTTATTGACAAAAGGTTGCATATATTGTAGCTAAAACATTGTTTTCAGCAGCTTATAGTAGAATTTGTTGATATTCTTTGAGGTGTACGAATTATGATATGGTTAAATTGAAAGGGGCGAATATCAACAAAAATTAGTGAAAACCCACGGTATTCCAACATTTAAGTGATATTGATCTTCTGATGCAAAATAAAACACTCTTTTAAATTGCCACCATCCTATCATCCTACAGTATAAGTTAATGTAATCGATCATTTTGAGCGTGCACGTTTATTTCAATTATTTCTAGACCTATAAATGGTGCATTTAATGATAATTATTTTCTAATCAACTTATCAGGTCAGTGGCCAAGATTAAATCACTGAAACTTTAGTTTTCGGATGCTGAGGGTCCCAGGTATATGTCATTAAAAGTTTATCGAATCCTCCTGGGCAGACAGGAAGAACGTCATCATGATATCTCTCTGATTCAGATAATTCTACACAAAATTTGCATCTGCCACTCGAAAACATACAAGCCTCCTTATACGCATACACGTGGTGTTTGAC